AACAGTTATCAGATGAGGTCTGAGTGGGAACAGATGCAGCATGGACAGGGCTCAGAGGCCGCAGTGCTCCTCCAGTGTGCAACACAAAGCACGCGTCACTCCAGAACAGTCCTCAGCCCACATCAGCTCATCCTTGTCCCAATCTGCACCTCCTGACATTCAACAAAGAAACAACTTTTGGAAGGCATTCTCCAGATATACTGCCAATGTTATTTGGCAGGAGATTAGCTCCCCATAAGGAACAAAGTTATGGATGTAAGAAGGAAATAAAGAAATCTTTCTCCCCTTACTCCATTTTCTCCCTCCCCCCCTGCATTTTAATTAGAAGAACCAATTTTCCTTTGGCTCACCAAGTAGCACCTGGCAGGGATGCAGAATTGAAGCATTTAATTCTCCAGGCAGTGACTGCACTTACCAGGCTGCTTTCCCGTGGCCTCTCTCACCCATCATCAGTGCCAACAAATGACTTCTCTGAAGTAAGAGCATGTCAAGCAAAATGCACAGGCTTTCTTTAGTAACACCCGTTTGCTAGTTCAGTGCTGGGAAAGAAAATGGAACTTGCTTAAACATATCCATCTAGCTTAAATTTATATGCCTTGCCTCAACAGCTCTGGATAGCTCGTGTTGCTTCATTGACAGATCACTGTCATGATCTGGCTTTGCAAATTTTTGAATGAAAACCATTTTCCACCAGAGACCGTTTGATTTAAATAGCGATTGATTCAGGGAAATCCAGTGCCCTGTGCTACACAGGTTAGGCTGCTAGACTGCAGAGCCTTGGTTTTGTTTTGTTTGAAGTTTATGACTTTTTTTTTTTTTTTTGTAACTTGAAGTTATTAAACTATATACTCAAAAACCCTTCTGCGTTCATACTATTAATGGAAGCACAATAAAACAGAAGGCAGGAAGCAGGATAAGTGTGGGTGGCCACTCCACTTGTAACAAGCAGAAGCATCTTGAATTTGAGGAAATAAGCAGATGACTGCTGGAGCTACAGGGAAGAAAGAGTTCAATCATCTCCAGACATGGTCTTCTTTCTATTTTCTGGGGGGAGGGGAGAGGGGTGACGTTCTACTACCACACAGGGATCTATAGTGTATCACACAAGAAAAAGATCTGCAGATGCAGTCTGCAGTTTGTCCACATTTTTTGGTTGGTTTTCATGAGTTACATTTAAACTTTTCTTATGTCTTTTGAATGTTCTGGTAGCTGTACTGTACGTCATTCCAGCAACTCTGCTCTTACTGCAGACCTACACCTAAAGGAAGGTATAATGGAAACATAACACCCTCAAATGTCATTTTTTTCAGAAATTTTAGTTTCACCTGTTTTTACTGCTGCTTTGTCATTAAAGGAAAACAGTGCAAAGGTTTAAGTCACTGTGTAATCAGACATCCTAAATAAACATACATATATTGCTGCCAAGTTCTTCTAAAACTGGTACAAGGAAGATGCAAAAAGCATGGAGAGAGAAAAAAAGTCTCTTCTGTTACTAAAATAAAGGTGGTTTCTCAACCCAACCACAGATCAATAGGCTACTGAATAAGCAGCAATATTTTCATACTCTTGTGTATCCTTTTGAGAATGCTGGATGATAATGAGGAAACTGAGAAGTAGTAAACTGCATGGAGGAATAATACCCTTTAAGTATTTTTATCTTTAATAATACCCTTTAAGCCTTTAGAGCCCTCTACTACATTAATTTTTCTCAGCTAAATTAGCGTGTTAGGGTATCTGATTCTTTCCATCCTCCCAGATCAATTGTATTCAGATGTCAGAGAGACATCAGTACTCAAATACTTTGTCATGGTTGCACTTTTCTTAAACCTTAACCTTTCTGTGTTTCCTGATTTACAGCTCATGTAATATACAGACTCATGCTTGAATTCTCCTTTGGGTGTCAATGTTTTAGTAATGTTAGCATTGTCTTCAGTCATGTCTACATTAGCATGATTAAGCTACTTCTGTAAATGTTCCACCTTGCAACCTAACAGCTCATTATCACGAGATTGGCCTGGTACCCTTTATCAACAAGGTAAGGCCCATAAAGCATTTAGCACCACGTTAAGGTTACTTCTGATCTTCTCATCAGTATAAAGGGAGTTCAAGTCAACCCCAGAGAAAGGGCACACATTAATCAAACGATGCACTGGGTTCTTTTTCTGCCTCCCATTAAGCTATTTGCATGCCAGTCATTTCATTTGCTGTTTGCCACAGGACCTGATCCACTCCCTTGTTTTTTTTTAGAGTTATTGCTCTGCCCACTGCATTGGGGTGCTCTAAGTCTGCACCTTTGTTGGTGAGGATCTGCTCTGTGCTATCTGCACCCTTGCTCTTTTCCCTAAGCTTGACTTGCTCTTGGCTGTATCAGGCGACTCAGAACAGTGTGATACCTCAACTGAGAAGTCACTTTTCCTTTCTAACATGTTCTTCAGCATATTAATGCTTATTAAGAGACTGCAAAAACAAAATAAACAAAGAGCCATCGATCTCAATTTTATTTTGCTTTTCTGTTGTGACCCTTACTGTAGGCTCCCTTTGTGATCTACGTTGTTTCACTTTCCCAGAAAGACCTCAAAATCACCTGGTAAGCATCTTGCTTATTACAGCAGCAAACAAAGGAGAAATCATGCAACTCTAGGGGGAAGCCTAGCATAGCAACCTAGCTCATGGATCCTGCTCCACCATTAACATGAACAACAGCCCACCATCCTTTTCTGCATCAGATGTAAAGAACGTGCTATATAATCTCTTAAAACAAGAAGTACTCAAAGTTGCTTCAGTTTCAAAACTTTTGAGATACTGTCTCAAAAAAAGTCAAATCCTTGCCTTTTCCATTTAGAGTGGAAATTGTTCAGAAGCACTTAGAGATAAAAAGCACTTAGAGATAAGAAGTCAGTGTGGGAGTATTTGCACAAGTATTGTGGGGGGAGAGGTAAGAAAATAATTAAAATAAATAGAGCACTTTTTGGTATTCAGCTGAGCTTGGTGCGAAGTTTGTGCTACCTTAACAATTTTCCATGTTTTCCTCTGGAAAAGAGGAATGATCAAAAAAGGAGAAGGGAACACAGAGAGGCATTTATAGTAAGTTTTCAGTAATGCCACTTACCTTTCAAAGCTTCCTATCAAAAAACTTTGAAGATTCATTACTAATTATCCTAGATCCTATTCATGACTGATGCAACAAATAAATATATACAAATTAGATATTATAGAAGTAGATATTTTACTAGAAGGAAACTGAAAACAATATCATAAAGGCTCCTCTGTATGTGCTTGTTTGAATGGCTCTACAGGTATGTATGTGGATGAGAAAAAGGTACCAGAAAAGAGCAGGCTGAAGAGTGTGTTTTAAGTAGTAGCATGTGAACGTCTCCCATGTGCTCCTAAGCTCCAGAGATGAGCAGTTCTGCTGAATACACAGAATCTGAGAACTCTGAACACCGAGTCTCCTGAATCTGTCCCAGTCCACTAACATCAGCCATGGGTCGTATAACCCAGGCTACATCCAAGAAACGTGCTAATTGCAAGACTACAAGATTATATCAAAGTAATACATTTGCATATGATGAAACAAAAGGCCTTGAGGGAGTTCCTGAACATCTACATCAAATCCATGGGTGCTTCTGGTTTTAAGTCAATAGCTGGAATTAAGTGTCCCAGCTGGGTGACTGTGAAATGTTCATGAACTCTGTGAGGGAATGCAGTGGGTGATTTAGCTCTGTGCTATTAATAATAAGAGCTAAACACAAGATTTTCCAATAAATAGATTTCATTGTGTGGGTGACAGACCACTGGCACAGGTTGCCCAGACAGACTGTGGACATGGTCCTGGGCAACTTTCTCTTCCTAGTCTTCTTGAACAGGGGAATTCCAGAGGTCCCTTCCAACCTCATCCCCTCTCTGACTGTGTATTTCCAACTGTGGTCTCAAGATCTCCACAGTTACGCCAAATCTACATGCCAGCAGAAAGTCTAGGACTGACTCACGACCTCCCGTCAGCCTGGAGATACCCAGGAGCTACCAAAACGAATCGCAACAAGTCTTCCTTGAGGCTCAGGAGACCGAAGAGAGCGAATTCCTTCGGAAGAAACACGCTTTTAAAACATTTTGTTGGGCTTTGTGAGACCTCTGGTGGCCAGATGCCTTCCTTGCGGTTCTGACGGTTTTGCTACAGCTGTGCTTTGCAGTTAGGAGAGGTTTCTTTCCAGAGAGGCACTGGAACAGGCTGCCCAGGGAGGTTGTGGAGTCTCCTTCTCTGGAGATGTTCAAGACCTGCCTGGATGCCTACCTGTGCAACCTGCTGTAGGGAACCTGCATTGGCGGGGGGGCTGGACTCCATGATCTCTGGAGGTCCCTTCCAACCCCTACAATTCTGTGATTCTGTGATTCTGTTTTGGTTCGCAACCTCAAAAAATAATTTTAGAGAAGGAAAAATCTAATCCAAAAGACTTTTAGTGACACGTGTTTTGTTTTGCTTTTTTCTCCTGAATTTATGCTGCTAAAAAGAAGTTATTATCTTGTTCTGTACTGTTACAGACTAAGCACACCATTGTAATACATAACATTGACTGCATTCTAATGCACACAAATTTGCTTTTAAAGGAAGAAGGAGAGCTCCCGTTACCTCAGCAGCCATTTCTTTGCTCCTGCCTGGAAACCCACCGGGAAGGGCTGGCAGCTGTACAAACTTCTGCTCCGGGCACATCTCTGAAACCTCCGCACTGCACTGCGGTTCTTCTCACAGCACAGCCTGCGAGAAAGTGCTCCAAGGGAGGTGCACGGCTTCCCCTTCCCCAAGGGAATCTTTTTTTTTTTTTTTAAGGTTACGGCCTCACATTGTGCCTGGGGAGAGTCAGATTGGACAGTAGGAAAACTTTTTCCACACGGAGGGCTGCAAAGCGTTGGCACAGGCTGCCCATGGAGGCGCTGGGGTCACTATCCCTGGAGGTGTGTTAACAGACGAGTAGGTCAGGTGCACAGAGACAAGACTTAGCTACGAGCTCCCGAATTCGGGAACGGCGGCTCGGCGGACAGCAGCGCAGGTCACGACCCGAGGGGGCGGCGCGATGCCAAGATGGCGGCTCCCGCCTGACGCGGTTGGTGCGGAGCGCGGGTGGGCGGGGCGCGCGGTGGGCGGGAGTGGCGCGCTGTCTTGGCGCGCGCCGGCGGCGGGCTGTGTTTCCCGCCGTGGCCATGTCTCGCCAGAGCACCCTGCTCCGATTCTTCCCCAAGGCCCAGCAGCCGCGGGCGGCCGCCACCCCTCCGCCCGCCGGTGGGGAGAGCCGATGCCGTTCTTCCAGGGAGCGGAACGGTCTCGAGGCCGCCGCCGGGCCCGCGGAGCGTAGCAAGGAGAATGGCAAAGCGGATGGGGCGGCCGCCAAAGGCCGCGGGTAAGCGAGGGGGCTGCGGGGCCTGGGCCCGCCTCGGGCCGGGGAGCGGAGCGATCATCTGCGTGCGGCGCGGCCTCTGGTGTGCTGGGGCTCGGCGGCGGGGGAGGGCGAGCCCGGGCCGTTCTGCCATGGGCGGGCTTCCCGTCGGCCGGGCTTTCTGTGCGCGAGGCTGTGGGCAGCTCAGCTCGTTTCCTTCGTGCGCCCTGCCATGTTCTGCTGCGGGAAGCGAGCGGCTGTGTAATCTGGCCGTCTCCAGTGCATAGCCCGGGGCCGTCTCCAGTGTATGGCCCGGGATCTTCTTTTAACTAATGGCTGGTTGAGCGCTCCTTCGCCCTTAGGAAATACAGGAGGCGTCGGGTGGGTAGGGAAGGAATGCAAAGCGGAGCCTGGGGGAGCGAAGCACAAAAACGAGGCTGAGAGGGATGTAGGCACCGTTAGAAGGATCTGAAGGGCTGAACTAGGTCACGCCTCCCAGCAGCTTCCCAGGCCCTTCCGCAGGCACGCTGCTTGCTGCACTGCATGCCTTCCTCTGTGAGGATGGTGCTCGTTAACCCCTTCGTATCTTGTCTGTGCAGTGTCTCCAATGTTTATTCTCCCGGGGACTTGGTCTGGGCCAAGATGGAAGGCTATCCCTGGTGGCCGTGCCTCATCTACAACCACCCCACGGAGGGAACCATCGTCAGAGGGAAAGGGAGCTCTTCTCGGATCCACGTGCAGTTCTTTGATGTCAGTCCCACGAGGGGCTGGGTCAGCATCAAGTACCTGAGGCCGTACAAAGGTAGGAGATGTCAGTAAGTTGCTTTGAAGAAGAGATGCTGCTCCTTTTGGTTCAGAATCTAGGCTATGGTGTTCTCCATAGGAAATGAGTAACAAAACTAAGAGCAGTGTTGAGAGTGAAAGCATGTTTTGTACTGCCTAATGTTAGGGAAAGTAAGTTTTTGTGGGTTTGGGGTGTTTGGGGTGTCTGTGGTTATAAAGCCCTGAGCCCTCTTGTTTGTTAGGTTACAGTGAAAGCTGCAAGCTTGCTTATGTTTTGAAGTTTTTCTTTTATTCTCCACATGTATATAAAGAAAATCAAAGACAAATCCTTGAAATCCTGAAAAATGTTAGGACTGTCAAACCTTGTTTCTAAGCAAGTATTTGAGAGTTGACATTTGCCCTGAATAGGAAGATTAGGCACAAGAGCTCTGTCTTAAGGTTATTTCACTTAAGCCATAATTAGTTTTAAAATGGTAATGTTATCTCAGTGTCAGTACAGTCCAGCGTAGGTGAATGGGTTCACGTGCATCTTTCCTGAAGGCATTCTAAAAGAATCAGGTGTATTTTTAAAACAACTTGCAGTATTTATAGAAGCAGATGTGGATTAGAAGAATTACACTACTTACCAAAATAATTGCAGTAAAATAAGAATAGTGCAAAATGTTTAAGCACAGGAGTACTAGTCTGTCTCCAAGAAAGGTGGCTAATTCAGGACAGAGTATGAATATTTAAAATGCTTGCTTTGCTGTTAAATTAAGATGAATAGCACTAAATAAATAAATAAATAAATAAATTCATTGGTTGAAAGTATTGCTTACAACTGAATAAATAAACACCACAAAGCCGGGCTTTGTAACAGTTGGGCAAGCGAGAAATTGAGTGATTTATGTGTAAGTAGACTAAGTGAAAATGAAGATGTTGCACATGAGTATGCAGTTAAATTGCATGATGGGATTTGCTCCTGCAACTGTTATCATCATTAAATGCATTAAAAGTATTTTTTGGTTGTCTTGCTGCATTTGCAAACTAAAATGAAGATCTAGTTTGTTGATATGTTGCATTTGCGTGGTAGAAATAGCTCCTTGAAACTTCATACTTGGGTACTGAGAGCCCACAAGTGAGCTACCTTTGGCCTGCGGTTAATTTGGAGCTGAAGCTTCAGCTATTAGCAGCCTCCCAAGTGACTTGCAAGAACAGGTGTAAAGATGTGTTAAAGCAGAACCTGTTGCTTCGTGCAGACAGCTAAAAAAGCAGAAAAAGGAATCATCCTTCCCTGTCTGTGGCATACTCTTCTCTTTCCCCAAGCTGAGTATATGGTATGTTGTGTATTCACCATTTATTCCTTCAGCGTAGCATTAGGATGAATCCCAACTTCTCTGGGGATCCTTTCTAGAAACCAGTCTGTAGGTTGGTTGCCTTTGCTTTTTGTCTTTGTTTTCAGGTAGTTGCCTTCTGCAAGAAAAGAGGAACTGCACTGCTAAAGGGATGTGAGGGGGGGGGAAAATACTTTGTATATGAAATGTACATATTGTATGTAATATTTAATAATCTAATGATATCTAATAGCTTGGATGCATTTAAAAGCGAAAGATGGATGCTAACTGGCTAAATTCTGGACCAGCTCAGTTTCTGACAGATGGCTGTTTTGCAGGCTCATCAGACAGAGAGGTGCTGAAGGGAGGTATGTTTTATAGTACGAAGCCTGAAATTAAAAAAGCAATGGAGCTGGCAGATGATGCCATGAGTAAAGATAAGCCTAAGCGACTTGAGCTGGCAGTGTGCAGCGAACCTTCAGATGCTGAGGAGGCAGAGGAGGAGGAAATGGAGGTAAAATATTTCTTGCTGTCATTTTCAGAAATAATGGTAGAACTTAGAAGCTGTCTCTTGGAGCTAAGCACGGAGTATCTGCAACCTTGTGGTGCAGTAACCACTGCTTGTCTGCTCCTTGATAGCGCGTGCAACAAATGCCTATGCCATTTTGTATTGCCTCTGTGCTGTTAGATCACATGCTGTTCTTCTACCTTTTCTAGTAAGAAAAACAAGTCTAATGTCTCTTCAGTGTTCCCTGACCTCAATAAGTTTCTTAAATTCTCTAATATATTTATAACCTCTTCTCAGTGGCCATTCCCTGGGTACCCCTGCTTACCTGCTGTCTGGCAAAGTACTCTCTTTTATCCTCTGTTCATATTCTAAACTGTCCTAAATTCAGTTGAAATTCTCATTTCTCACATAAAAATTGTTAACTTTCTGAGCGCTTGGTTTAAGACACTAAGTTGGGTTTTGAAGCCTTATCTTTTGGAGTTGCACCAAAATACAAATTCTTATACTGTTAATGCTAGTCTGCTGGGATAACTAAAATGAGATCTTTTAGTGTGTTGCGTTCATAATGTATTATCATTCAGATACAATTTCAATACTGCCACGTGCATTGGAATAAATTTCTGTGGTATGAGGAAACTGCTGATGGGAGTAGTGTTCCTTACCTCTTGTGTCAGTGTGACCTGTCTGCTCTTTCTCCAGCATGACATTTCTCCAGCAACAGGTGACAACACTGTGGGGCAAACTACCACTCTGTACTTAGTACAGTCTTTCTATTGCTGCATTCTTCTAGCACAGGCACTGGTATTGTTAAAGCTTTAGGCTGAAAAGACGAATAATGGAGTTCCCTTTCTTTTTACTAAACATGCATGAACTAAACAGCATGGTTAGCTGATGGAGGTGTTTCTTCTTTATGCTGGGTGTCACGTACTCTACACCTTTCGTGTTTGAAGCTTCTATTTTTTTTAACATGGATCGCTTATGCATATTCAAATGAAGCAGTAAGGACTACAGAGAGAGGAGCAATTATAGCACGGGCAGATAGTTTACTTCCCAGTAAAGAATATCCTGTGAAGTGACACTGCTGTGTGGCTGTGACTGTGCTGTCTTTTGCTTGAAGTATCATAGCTACTGCATTTGTGTGCTTCTCTTTGCTGCAGTGATATTTTCACTTTGTGGCCAGAACTTTTAATAGGTTAAATGATTTCTCTTTCAGCAGATGAGTGGAAGTGCATCAGGCGACAGTGATGACAGCAATAGTGAGGAGGATGTGAAGGGCAATAAGCGAGTACCAAACAGAGGTAGTGCCATAAAAGCCAAAAGAAGGAGAATGCTGGATTCGGACAGCGATCGTGATGGTTCTGATGTAGAGTTCAAGCCTGATGTGAAAGAAGCAGCAAGCAGCGAGGAAGCTAGTAGTGGGGTGGATGAAAATGAAGCTACTGATGCAGAGACAGATGCAGAGAGCATTGAAGAAAGTCCTATAAAAGTCCCTTCTAAACGGAAGAGAGGAAACGTTAGCAAGCCTTCTAAAAGGAGTAGCTTAGAAAATGAACATTCTGAAGCACCCAAAAGAGCAGCACCGGTTTCGTTAGAAGCCAAGTCTAAGCTGACATTGTTTGCAGCACCTGACAATTTTGAGTCTCAGGCAAACGCCTGCAGTGGAGGCACTACTGGCTTTGCAGCATGGGAACATGAGAAGCTTGAGTGGCTGCAGGAAGGGAAAAAGAAAGATGCACACAGGAGACGACAGAATGACCCTGACTATGACCCATGCACTTTGTACGTACCTGAGGACTACCTTAACAAATGTACGCCTGGAATGCGGAGGTGGTGGCAGCTGAAAAGTCAAAACTTCGATGCGGTGATTTGCTACAAAGTTGGAAAATTCTATGAGTTGTATCACATGGATGCAGTCATCGGTGTGAATGAGCTGGGCCTGGTATTTATGAAAGGTTCATGGGCTCATTCCGGTTTTCCAGAAACTGCATTTGGCAGGTTCTCTGCTATTCTGGTTCAGAAGGGCTACAAGGTAGCTCGTGTTGAGCAAACAGAAACTCCTGAAATGATGGAAGCGCGCTGCAAGGCAACGGCCCACCCCACCAGGTTTGACAAGGTTGTGCGGCGGGAAATCTGCAGAATCCTTACCAAGGGCACTCAGACCTACAGCATTATAGATTGCGATCCGTCGGAGAACCACAACAAATACCTTCTGTGTGTTAAGGAAA